ATCGAAAAGTGATAATGGCTGATAGGAGGAGCGATACAAAGCATATGTGTTGAAGTTCTTATCCAGATGTGGGATAAGAAAACATCTCATTTTTTTGCGATGTAGTCGTGATCCATTCGACCGCTAATCTGCCCGAGCTTCCTAAGATGGTCGGTGTCTGTGGAAATACGATAAATTGGTAATTCTATCGCATCACCGGTAAAAGAAGTTATTAGACCGCTAAACTATCCCAGTATCCAAGCATGGTAGATGTTTACGCTGAGGGGTGATAATAAGCAGCCCAAGTAATTGTATTAGTTATCCAAAGGTCATTCGGCTGCTAGATTTTGTTAGTTCTAGAAAAATGATGGATGTTTACTGGTATATACAGCAGCCCGGTTATACTCTGTTTCACAGAAGCCTATGTTGACATGCGCGCGATAGCGGGCGGAGCAGAACTGGTACATACATACAGGCATACATACAAGCCAATACACCAAGTAAGCGCTTTATAAAATACCAGTTTGGCGGGTAGTTTATCAATGCGGTCCCGTGTGATGCACGCATTCGCGTGCATCACACGGGACCGCATTGATAGGAAACAGGGCCATTGATATTTTTATAGTTCACCGTGGGAAACTCCGCAAATCCTTGGCGCCCACAAATAGCATTTGGCCCCATTCCTTCGCCAACCTTTATCCACTTTTCCCAGCCTCTGGGCTCTCTTTCAACCTCTGTAATATCACGTGACAAACACCGCCTACTTCAACGCACGCTCCACCCACCAATAGCGGTTGACCTCCCTTCCGTTGACAAACTCAATCCACTTTTTCCGGTCTCCGGACTTCTTGGAACCGAGTTATGAATTTTCGTCGCAAACTCCGCCCACTTTGGTCAACCCCGCCCACCAATGCAGTTGGGCCTCCACTCCTCCACCCACCTCTATCCACCTTTTCCCGGTCTCCGGGACTTCTTGGAACCGAGTTATGAATTTTCGTCGCAAACTCCGCCCACTTTGGTGCATGCTTAGCCCACCAATAGCATTTAACCCCTTCCCTCCGGCAACCCTTATCCACATTTTTCCCGGTCGCCGGACTTCTAGGAACCGAGTTATGAGAGTGGTGGCAAACTCCGCCCACTTCGGGGTGTGCCACGCCCAGCGTTCACATTCAACCTCTACTCCTCCTCTCACCTCTACACACGTTTTTTTTCAGGTCTCTAAGTCATCTCGGAGCCGAATTATGAGGTCTTGTAGGGGACGAAATCGAGCTACGTATCTTTGTGGCAAACCCCGCCCACTTTGGTGCATGCCTCGCCCACCGATATCAGTTGACTATCATCTCTTCCCCAACCTTTTTCTACTTTTTCCCATCTCCGGAACTTATTGGAACCGAGTTATGAAGTACCGTGGCAAACTCCGCCCACTTTAACGCATGCTCCGCCCGCCAACAGCAGTTGACCCCTTCCCTCTGCCAACCCTTATACGCTTTTTTCCCGGACCCCGGGACTTCTAGGAACCGAGTTATAGGCCTAGCTGCAAACTCTGCCCACTCAGCATAACCGACCTAACCGCACGGTTTCAAAAAAGCACCCTCCTGCCTGATGTTCACCTACCTTCTCGGATAGCATATTTTCACGTATTGCTATCCCAGCAAAAACAAAAGGCAACTTTAACAAGAGTATTCGTGAAACATGATCCCCTGTGTTGTATCTTTCCACTGAGATCTGTAGTAAAACTGAAAAAAAAACACTTGAAAGATGAATAATTCCATGAGAAATGTCCATGTTGTAGTCAACGATTCCATTAGTTTTCCATGATGGCGCTCCCTTGCAAATATGTATGCCGGGATGTTTGAAAGTATTCTTTAGTATGTTCGCCGTATTACTGGATGCGTCATATTTGCTTCCCTTCCGACATTGGAAAAAATCGAATATATAAACACGGTATTACGAAGAAACACATATTTTTGTGGTACGGTATTGGTGATATATCAGTTTTGATGGATTGGATTTCCAATGGTTTTTAGAATACAAGTACGCTCTTCTGATCTATGGAAACCCAAATCTCAAACTGATTTCGGCTCGTGTAAAACCAGGGGTACGTCCGTTCTGTATAGTATGTATGTATGTATATATGTATGTATGTATATATGTATGTATATGCTCCTATGTATAGAGCTATTGTTCCTTCTCCTTTATTTGTATTATGGCGTAGACGCTGGCAAAGCGGTCCAAATCTTACGCATGAGTGCTTGACACTAACCCCATACGTTTTGCAGGAATAGTCTGAGGAGTGTGTCTGAGAACATGTAGATTTTCTATCGTTGATGTAAATGCCCATAAAAAATCAAAATGAACGCTCTTTTCTCACCAACCCTTCATCATAGCTACGGCCGCTATAACAAAAATGCAGAGTTGTGACTGTACACCTGTATTAGATCTTAAGCCATACACTGCGTCTCCTGATACAGCCACCAAGAATGTTCAAGGTCTTGAATTCCACAAATTTTCTAGAAATCTCCAAGAGAAAAACTGTGTCAAATTTGGTCGCGAATTCAAAAATTAACACAATTAATCAATCTCAATCAATTGAGACTTTTCCATCATCATAGTTAGATCCGCAGCGGCATGACAGCTGTTTTGAAAGGATTAAATAATGATATTAAGTTAAATATATTATGATATTATTATTAATGATATTAAGTTGAGAGCAATTAGAGGAGGTGAGGAAGCTAGATGTGAAATTTCGGATTTTGGGAAGGATCAGGCTACAAACAAAAAACACAAGTGCAACAAACAACAAATACAGGAGCAGGATCCATTTCGACCTGTTATTTCCTGCTTCCCGTCTTCATTCTTTTAACGCGTTTCGCTCTAGATTGTTACGTCGTGGAGAAAAGCTTCCATTAGCGAGGGGAAACTCGAAGAGAAAGCAGATAAGGAGTAAAACAGAAGAGCTGATCCTCCGGTTGTCATGGCTACTGTTTTCTTGCGAACTAAATTTTCGCAACAGTTTCCTCTCACGTCAGTTTTCTTGAAACCGAAGCCAAGATGTCAACAACTTTTTACATCTAGATCGCTTAAATCGAGCAAGGCTGGGGCCCCCCTGGGTGCTCACCGTGTGCAGTCCCATGAAGGTGCGGCGTTTGAAGTCACAGTTAGGATTCTGCTGCGAGAACCCCTCACTTCGGCGCGCAAGACCCTTGAGGCCTTCTTTATTAGCGCTAGGTCCCCCAAAATGAACAGGAAAGACGAATGCCTGGCCATAACCAACGAACTCGCGCCATTTTCTGACCTCTGTGGGCCATCTGAACCCCCACTGTGAGTCAGATTAACGGTGGTCGACATCAAGTTCGGTCGTTCGTTGAGGTGGGTCCAAGTGTTTTGTGATTGCGATGCCTTCCTACAACCACTGGTCTAGGGGACATTCTTGAAGTTTGAAATGATGTTTGGGGATGAATCGCACTGATCTTTGGCTTTCCAGGCTCTGACGAAGGCGACGAAGGCCGAAACGTTAGCCAAATAAAAAGTTGTTGACATCTTGGCTTCGGTTTCAAGAAAACTGACGTGAAGTACCACAAACCATGCCAAGATTTACTGAAAGTCGAACATGGATAGTTTCCTCTCAGAAACACTGTGATTTTCGTTTCCCACTAAAGAACGATCATAAGAAGTATTCAAAAACACCCAGCACTATCCGGTAAGAGACTTAAGTCTCTAAGAAGACTCAACTTCCGAAACGCCTTGGTGAAATTTGGTGCTGTTCTCATAATGTCGCGTTTATCTTAATCAAAAAGCGAAGAATAACGTCCGGAGCCCTTCTAAGTTCCATTTTCTACAGGATTCAAAAAGAAATTGCTAATCATTCCGTAGCTCGACTGAAATTTCGCGCATTGTGACCACCTGGCGCTTAATTTTTCTTTTTTGTGACGATTTGCCCTTTTTCGAAGTCCAACAGTTGCTTTCCTTTCCTGATAACCTAAGAAAGAAAATTGAGACTGCCAATCAGTTTCATCGAGCAGAAATGAAATGCAACGAAGAAACACGGGGTGGCTGTATCAGTTGGAGGAATATGAACAGCGCCCCATAAAAATTTTTGGCATTTCAACCTGGAATTTTGTGTTGATTTTCGAATTTTGCGGTCAAATTTGACACAGTTTCTCTATGGACATTTTCCCAAAAACTTTGAAGAATTCAAGATTCTAACAATTTTTAGCTGACTTGATCATTAGGAGGCGCAGTGTTTTCATGCCGATCTGCTAGACTAAGCTTCTATCGCGAAGCACACGTGCACTATGATTGTTTGTGGTCTGATCTTTCCAAAATCCCAAAATTTCACTTCTAGCTTCCTCACCTCCCCTAATTGCTCTCAACTTACAAAATAACCCCTTCAAAACTCCTGTCATGCCACTGCGGATCTAACTACGATGATGGAAAGGCCTCAGTTAATTCCATCAGCTGGCTAAGCTGTCTTGTATATGTTGGAAGGTTAATAAGAATTCACTCTCTTGGAACTTTGCTTTTCATTTCATTTCCAACATAGCATCCGCGCAGCGGTCGATTTGCCTAGTACTCTTAGACGCTGATTGCGGCAATTTCGTCCAGCTTTATCAGAACAGCCAATCATAATTTATACCCTGTAAATGCTTTCCCAATTTTAGTCTGTCTTCATCAGAGCAAATAGAGAATTAGAAAGCAAGAACGTGAATATAGAAGAGAATGTCAGTATAGACGTTGGGACGGATCAAGGTATGAAGCATTTATGCATAAAAATGTACACGTTTCTTTTTAGAGTTCATAGGCTTCTGCTGAAACCGCAGCCTCTAATGCTTACGCAAAAGCACTACTTAGTGCAGTAGAAAAGGCGAAAGCGAAAAAAAATCAGCGGTGGGACGCTCGTCCCAAAAACAATTTATTTTGAATTCTTCTCCAGTAATGTCTGTTGACTAATGATAATTCGACAGGAATATTGCAGCACATTAGTAAACATCGGTGTTAGTGCCTAAAATCAACATTGTTCAATGAAAGTGATCCAAGCTAAGAAAAGAAGTTCAGACTGCACTGTGGAGATGGCTCTCAGAGATATGAAGTGTACGGCACTGGTTGGTGATGTCGAGTACAATCATGGAAGTGATGCCTACAAGGAACTCTGGTCGCGAATCAGTAAAGTCTATGGCACCATCCTCGTCAATCAGTTAGAGGAAAATAACTTAGAGGCCCTGAAAAACATCACTGTCGAAGGATGGGCATGTGAGATTTGCGCATGTTTATCAGACCTTATCAGCTAATGATTGGTACAATTCAGCTCGAGTAGTGAAGATCGTTAACAATCGCAACCTGAAGCACATTGACGGATTATTGCACATGAAAGTGGATGGCCCAAGGCCATGGTTTTGGTTCCATAACAATTCAAGATTTTGCCACACTATCGATATTAGAAAGAAACTTGAAGAGAAGTTACATAGGCGACTAGAATGGGAAGATAAATGTCGTAAGTTATCCTCTCATGAGGCATCTTGATATCACGTTAACGTGCTACTGCTGTTTTACTAAGTGCACACATGCGAAGGAGGGAAGGTCAACACAAAATACCTCGAGCAGTTCGACAAATTTTGCAATGAGATCGATGGAGAACTTATCATTGAAGGACAAACAGGCACGTAAGAATTATCTTACACAATTTCCATTGATATGTGAAACATCGAGAACGGATCGCATTTTGAGTACGGCCTCAACGACCATCGAAACTGTAATGTATTTACCTGTCTCGCACTTCTATCTGTTTGACAAGCCCATTTGTCTGTTTCAGCTACGGATCCGTTAAGATGTTCACCCCCTTCCCATTCAGGGATTTTACTTCACTTGTAGAGTTACTAACCCGAGCCGGTCAAGCTGAGTCAGTGTGTGCTAAGCACGCTTGGAGAAACAGAGACTAGTTCACATTCCAAAAAGCTCTGAAACCACAAGAAAGGTCAACCGCCACGAGAACGATGGAAGAGAAGCGAAATCACATGTCAATTGGGCGGGCGTCAAGGTGGATGGGAAATCATAAGTTGCCTCCTTCCACACGGGTAAAAACTTGAGAGACGTACGCGCTTGCGTGGTAATTCGCTAATGTGCTCTATGAGATAAGGGCAGATGGGCAGCCTGTCAAAGAAACCAGAGTGGAAGTTCCACTACCATTCTAGATGAAGTGACTTTCTTGACTAGAGTTCCACCAGAACATCTGAGGCAGGCCATCATGTTCTCTCTACACGGCTTCACAAGCACGCAGCGAAGAAAGTGGCTTGTGCTCCGCTTCAATCGGAGCGTTCACGCTGCCGATATCAGCCTCCGTGTTCAAAACACAGGCATCTCTTGGCACCTGTGAAAACCGTGCTCTCACATGGGACCTTAAGCGAAATATTTCAACAAGCTGCTAAGGTTTCTTTGGCTTAACGTTTTTCAACAAGGCGAAATTCGCTCCGTAAGCGCAAGGATATGGTAAAGTGGCATTCAGAGTGGCATGAATGGGACTCGTGCCTGGATTGCTTCTTCTACCTGGATTTTTCTGCTTGGCAGCTTACCCAGTGCATCCAAGAAGTGAGTATTGGTCTTGCGCAGATTATAACGGGGGTGTTCTCGTTTCGCTCGTGAATTAAACTTGTGGATTGACTCAGCAGGGCGCCGGTCAAGTCGTAATATGGTCGCAAGTAGAAAAATGATACAAGTATATCTCTAGTAATTGTATATAATACAATGAGTCATTCTTTGAAGGAGGGTTCCACGATAGGAACGAAGGCCAAAGAGGTGGGGAAATCGTTTACTCAGAAGACAGGCGGACCTTCTCCGGACAGGGCCCAAAATATGACCTCGGTGATCTAGACACCGCAGCGTTGAAGAGGATTTGAAAGGCGCTGCCTTTTCAGCGTTAATTCCGCCTAATGCAACGCTCATGATGGTGCTTCTAATATGCAAGTTATCATGAACGATGCTGGTCGATATAACGACACGTAAAGCTTTTTTACGTACAGCTTGATATTCGCAGGGCGTGGAGCGCTTTTTGAAAACGGTCTTTTTTGCATGAAATAGGGGCAGGTGCAGTGAACACAGATCTATGGTCCATTTCCGCTAAATGGCCTTCTGAATGCCAAAAAAGGAGTGAAAATCATTTTGTTGGAAACTGCAGTTTTTACTTGTTAAACGTGGTGTGTTTCATTCATGGCGTCAACTATAGGCATAGTAAAAGGTCGTAGTGAACTGTGCATCGAAAATAACGTGAGGTTTAGCCAAAATCGGATCCTTTGTTCATTGGCTAGCGTGAAGTGTTTCGCGACGACGCAGTCCCCGGGGCTTCCTAGGTAGCACTGGCTCATTTCCTAATGGCATTCGGTTCTAAAGTGACCCAGCTGGTGCAGGCGAAACAGCTATGTTTTCATCTGTGTGATAGAGTGTGTATCCAATACGTGTTAATGAACATCTGTTTTCGCCAGTAAGATGAGAAAAATTTGACACTCATCGGACAAATCTAGAATGCATCCATGGTCTGCTCTGCGAGGGTTGTCCACGCTGATCACAAATACGAATAGTTGCTGGTGTCATTTATTCTCATTCTAGAGATACAATTTTCTAGCCAGTTTTCAGTGAAAACCTAGCGCACGGGGTCATTGCTGCTCCTGGTCACGACAATGACCAGTCAGACACTCATTTTGGCACTGGTGCAGTTTGGAGCCAAGATGGAGGTGCCAGCATAAAATGCAAAAACGGTTTGCTGGCAGGCGGAGGATGCGTAAACACAAAATCCAGTCAACCGTTGCTTAAACACGATAGGTCCACGAACATCTATCCGACTGGGAGACTGCCGACATCCAAGCTGCAGATAGCTGTTATGAATCTCCCGCACACTCTCGTAGCATGTAGCATGACAAGGATCCATTTTTGGCTAAACCTCACGTTATTTTCGATGCACAGTTCACTACGACCTTTTACTATGCCTATAGTTGACGCCATGATGAAACACACCACGTTTAACAAGTAAAAACTGCAGTTTCCAACAAAATGATTTTCACTCCTTTTTTGGCATTCAGAAGGCCATTTAGCGGAAATGGACCATAGATCTGTGTTCACTGCACCTGCCCCTATTTCATGCAAAAAACCGTTTTCAAAAAGCGCTCCACGCCCTGAACGACCTCCCCTCGTTAAGTGTGCCAAAAATGAAAAGGTTTAGGATGGAGTCTGGAAGTTGTTCCGAAAGGTTTTCAAGAAAAATGTTTCACAGACACTCGACAAAACGTGAGCGATATACATGGGAACAGGGACAAACATACAAGGGGAAGCAAACGAGCTCTGCATCAGGGAGCGGGGGAACGTACAAAGAGTTACTGAAGAATAGAATGCATAAGTGAAATGAAAGTCAAACACATGAGTAGGGAGTATGAAAAAATCTCGAGAAACACGCACAAGGTTTTTAAAAATGAGTGATCAGGACGTAAGAAGCTAGAAGATGTACGCTTACTCTCCTCCGGGTGATCCTGTAGGCGTCTCACAATGATCTTCGGTCCTTCCATGAGTCCCTTCACCATGGCATCTAGTGTCAGGAGGAAAGGAACGGGCTCAGAGCTGACCCTTGGTGCACCCCAACCGTGATGTCCACTTCCTTCGTTAGGCCGTGTGGGGTGCGTATGCTGCCTTCGCCCCATCGTACATATCCTTCACCAGAAAGGTCAAGTTTTCTAGCATGTTCTGGTCTCTGAGGGCTTGCTGTAGAAGGTCCAACGTTCTTCAGTAGTTTGCCATCACTCGCTTAGCGATGAAGATTGCATCCGTTGTTGACTTTGAGGCATGCACGGAAGTGTTCCTGCTCTCGCTCGTAGAGCTTTATAGTATGAGCAGCCAACTTGATCTCCTGACACTTGAAGCAATCCATTGAATCACCTCTCTCTTTGGAGATGGGAATGTACGTTGTGCTCCGAGCAACCGACTTCCTTCCGCGGTTAGTGTTGGCGAATCAGGTGAGCCATCTTAACCTTCCTATTCGAGCGGTGCAAAACCTTAGCCAGTATGTAGACGAACTTTTCCGCATTTCGGCATTCCAACGTCTCAAACAAGACGTTTATTTCCACGTTCTTCGCCTTAGCGACGACTGCCGTGGCGAGCTTCTTCCAACTTTTGTAGAAGGAGTCCTACTGGCCAGCGTTTGTAAGATTCCTTATTCCGCTAACCTGTACGTTTCTTTCCTCCAGATCTTTCCTCCAGACAAGGCAGCGTGGTTCAGAAAGTGCGGTTGCACTTTCTGAACTACGCTGCCTTGTCCCCCCGATCTCACCTCGTGTCTCGCCCAGAGCATCCTTAAAGGCAAACTCCGGAATTAAACTGGTGCTAAGAGCGCTTCGTAGTGATAGCTTAGCTGCGGAACGACCTGAAAGTGGAAAGGAAAGCAAGAGAAATCTTTGGGAACGCTGAAATTAAGGCCTTAACCTTCAAAAAGGTCGGATGTGGTACGATGGCGAGACAGGGCGATCAAAGAGGTCAAAACACGCGAGAGAGAACGTCGTTTGAGAGAGCACGCTGATCTCTACATCAATGCACGCTGATCTCACCACATCTCGCGGTGGGTGGGAAGCGTTCGATGGTTGGAGGCCCGTAAGGATTAGCGCCCTAACCGCGCGATTTTCGCGACCAAGTTGAAGTGATCTAGGTAGGTACGGGTCTTACAATTTCCCTCGCGGTATCCTTCCTACTAGTCGGGCTAATCCCGGGGTTTGCCTTCAACGCATTATGGGATGACTTCAGCCGCGCTGCACCGAATCGTTTGTACAGTCCTTCAGGATCTGGGAGATCCAACTTCCATTATCCCTTCGTTTGAGGTCGCTCTTCTCCGCTTGGTGCAACTTCCACCACCGGACTTCTTCCTCTCGGCTTCTTACCCTTGCCTGCTTTGGGGAGTCTATGGTGATGCATGCCTCTTTTTCCGCCTTGCACTCCTACCAGACCGCTTTTTTCACTGCCAACGTGACCATTCAGATCACTTGCTATGGTGAGGTGGTCGCCTACCGGTATCAATCTTATCGTCGTCATAGCATTGTCCAGACTCGGATGAAAGTCTCCGGCTTGCATTCCGCTTGGTTGTAGAGTTCGACACTTTCCCTGAGGTGCATAAGCGGAGAGTTGCCCATACCTCCCCGAAAGCAACCTCCACAGCCATCTTGCTGTACAACAGATCGCCCTGCTCGATTCTGTTTACAGCAAGACTGCTAATCCTTGAAAGAATTTTTCACACCAGCGCTTGTGACATAGCGCCGTCTTCCGGCACGTGTCTCTCCCCGTCGTATTGTGAATTCGACCCCTTACCTGTTTCTCCTGGCCTTACTCTTCTTGTAGCTCACTCCCCAAGGTATTCGCTTAGCATTTTTTGCGATCCGCAACCTCTCGCACTTCCACATACGCCTCTATTCAATACCTAATGTTTATCTTTACACAAAATATCAAGCTCAGTTTTATCAACATAAGAAAAAATTGTTTCAGAAATACAGCACAGAGAC